CAATTACAGCCACTATATGCAAAGAACTGCTGTTCTGCAAAGAACTGCTGTTCAAACCTCTCCAAGCTTTATTTTCCCCCTGCAGTGATTTGAAGCAGGCATTCATACATCAGGAAAGTTCTATTAAAACCAGGCTGTCAGATAAACCGCAGAGTGGTCCTTCTTGTCATGAGATACACCTCATCTGTTAGGTACCATGTTTCAGAAAGAGTCATTAATACAAATACCAGGTGGATCTCCAGGTGTCTTAGCTTTTCATGAGGTAGAACCTAACTTCCTACTGGCTGGCAGCTTTGTATCCTCAGTTCTGTGCAACCCAGTCTCCAACTCCTTCCATGCCCTGTGTTAAAGTTCCCTGAGAGTGAGACAGGGCAGTACCTTCCAGGATCTGAGTAACTGCAAAATTAGCTTAAAAACATACTGGCCAGAAATCTGAACTCATGTCCGGAGTTTATTTTCTTTTTCAAAGCAGCAAGGAAGAGTTAATTGAATCATCAGCTGATAGAACTCTAGGTAAAGATGAAGACGATGTCACAGAAGGCTATCCTTTTCTTTATTACTTGCAAGAAGTCTGTTTCTACCCAAAATTCAAACACACTACCATGTAAGACCCACTTTCTTAACTAATTTATTCCAAACACACACTTTCCGTGCTTAAAATGAATTATACCCATTAACAAAGTAGTGAAATAAAACTTCAGTAACTTAGAAAACACTACAACTACATAAGTACCCAGTTTAATCTTTGCTCTAATGTTGTGAATATACTTAGCAATTACTAATGATTATGAATCATAATAAAATACCTCATCAGTCCTAAGAATACTTACCACTGCAGTCACACTAATGTGAGAATAAGTTCAAACTCATTGGCATTTTCAGCATTTAGTTCTAAATTATCTGTACCTATACAAACTTCTGAAGAGGTCTTACCATAAGAAAAATTTAAGTTTCTCTTACCTGTTTGAAATTTGTTACAGCTTTTATAACTGGAGAAGCTGTCATTAAAAAAATGTCTTCTGATGGGAATTCCATAGCCAGCTTGTAAAGAAACAGGAATCATAATGAGTGAGCACAGTCATCAATAGATTTTGACTTTAAGACCAGTTATTGGTGAAAAGCAGTAGTTGGTCTACATTAACCTTAGTCTTGTAGAATGCTATTGGATAAACACTGTAAGATGATCATGGTATCACAGAATGGAAGGAAAACAGTGGAAATGAACAGAATTTAGAGACTCAAGATTTTAATTAATTCAGACACTAATATATCTTCAGTAACTGCAGCCATGGTATAACTTTGTGAGGTTGGCACTGGCCCACCTCTCCAGCCTGTCAAGGTCCCTCTGGATGGCATCCCCTGTGTGGTGTCAACCACACCACACAGCTTGGTATCATCAGCAAATTTGCTGAAGATGCACTCAATCCCACTGTCCATGTCTCCAACAAAGATGTTGAACAGCACTGTTCCCAATACTGACCCCTGAGGGACACCACTCATCACCTGCCTCCATTTGGACACTAAGCCATTGACCACAACTCTTCGGGTGTGGCCATCCAGCCAATTTCTTATCCACCGAGTGGTCTGTCTGTCAAATCCATGCCTCATCAGTTTGGAGACCAGGATGTTGTGTGGGACAGTGTCAAATACTTTGCACAAATCCAGGTAATAAGCCTCTGAAAAACTACAGGATTCTATGGAATGCACATGATCAGGCTCAGTATCTTTATTAATGAAAGACATTGGGAGTAAGCGCACCCTCAGCATGTTCACAGATAATACTGAGACAAGTGTGCAGTCGGTTAGCTAGAGGGAAGGGATGCCAAGCGGAGAGGGCTTGACAGTCTTGAAGTTAATGAAGTTCAACAAGGATCAGTGCAAAGTCACGTGTCTGGGCTGGGGCAACCGACAATATTAGTACAGACTGGGTGGTGAACAGATTGAAAGCACCCCTGCAAAGAAGGATTTGGGGATACTAGTTGATGAAAAATTAGGTAAGAGCCATAAACATGAACTTGCAGGCCAGAAAACCAACCGAATGCTGGGCTGCATAAAAAGAAGTGTGGCCAGCAAGTCAAGGGACCCCACCTGGGTGTCCTGCAACCAGCTCTGGTGCCCCCAGCATAAGACAGACATGGACCTGTCAGAACAGGTCCAGAGTAGGGCTACAGCCAATGGTCAGAGGGCTAGAACATCTTTCCTGTGAAGACAGACTGAAAGGATTGTCTGTAGTACAAAAGCCTATATATAACATTAACCATGGTAAGAGGCAAAACCCCTGAAACTAATAAATGGTAGAAACAAATCAGGTCCATAAAGATGGAGAACAGTATCAGTATTTTTTCTAAGTCAGTCTGCATGTGACTAATACATCAAAAGTTATATATTATCACTTCATCACGAGAGAACAACTACATTTGAAACACAGTCTTTATACTGCTTTTCAGTTTTAAAAGATGAAATATTTTTCACTGAACTAACATATACATAACTTTATTCCACATTATAGGCACAAAACTACCTCCATGTTACTTTAAAAACACTGAAAATTTGAAAGCAAGAAACAAATTTATCTTTGGAGCTTAAGTCCACAGAAAGCTAGACTGGACATTCTCCACAGGTGTAAAGTACTAAACATGGACCAACCAAAAGCAGAGCAACCTTTTTATAGAAAGGGGCACATCATAGCAGTCTTCTTAATTGCAGTAAAATCCTTTAGAGCTAGGAGGAGTAATGCATGCAATGTTCCTTCAAGTTTCTGACCTCCTGACTAGCATATTCTGTATGCCAGTTTTGTCAAGGTGCCAAGTCTTAATTCTCTCTTTAGGAAGTGTTTATAAGTTTTAAGGAAGTGTTTATCAGGTTATTAGCAGGACAATTTTAACCCCTTGAGTAATATTTCTAGACAGGTAGATATTGTTATAATACAGCATTACTTCTCTGGGCTGGTTGTGTTTCATTTGTTTCCTTTTTTTATTTTTTTTTAACTGGGACAACTTATTTGTAAACAATTGGCGAGAAGAGTGCGTTATGACAGAATACTTATGTCATTACTGTATAAACGAGAACAACGGGGTCGTTACGATACAAATCAAGCTGTTTGAACAGAATCCCCCCGAGCTGACGCTGCGAACACCGATGTTTCTCAGCAAGCACCACGGCGGGCCCCGCAGCCCCGCTTCACCGTCACACGCACAGCTCACACAGCGCCGCGGGCACGAAGAGCTTCCCCCCCGGAGCCTGCGGGGCCGAAAGGAACCC